CCCCCTCCCACTCTGGGGCCTGAGGCTTTCTTTTTAAAAAATTTTCCCCCCAAAGGATTTTTTATTTCTGGGGAGACCGGCAGGTGGTGCGGTTGTTGAGGACACTAGACTCCCACATGTCCCACTGTGGTTCGAATCCCAACCCCTGGCAGCTTGAAAAACGTGCTAGGTGCATGTGCATGCATGCCCACACCCCGCTCGGGGGGGAGGTTCCCCTCTCTGTCTTTCTCCGCCCCCCCCAGTACTTTCACACTCCAGCAACTAAAAAAAGAGAAAGGCATTGGGGAAGATGGAAAGAAATACCAAGAGATGGAAAAAGAGATGGGGTTAGAGTTGGAGGATGGAGGTGGGAACAGAGAGGAAAAGGGACAGAAAGAGAGGTGACATGGGTGACAGATGCTGGAACAGCTACACAGATCTAAAGGGGTGGGGGAAGGGAAAGGGTCCCATGTCATACAATGGGGGGCAGCTGGCACCTGGATGCGGTCAGAATAGTTGTCCAGCAGGAGCACCCCCGAACTGGTCACTTTCTTGGTCTCTACCATGGTCTTCAGGTCAGCCAGGAGGGTCATGTGCTTGGACATGTCTGTGGCCAGCACCTGTGGGCGAGGGGGTGTCACAGGGGCAGCTGAGCCCACCCCTCCGGCATACCCACCGATGCTCAGGATTCAAAGGGCTCCTCTGTGACTCAGACCCATCCTACCCCATGCCCGCTCCTCAAAGCCTTTCTAACCCCCTCTTGTCCCGCCCCTGGCCCCGCCCACCATGTCGATGACCATCTTGCGCAGGCTCTGTCGCTGCCGCTTGCTGAGGTTCTGGAAGATGTCGCAGTTGTCCTCTTGCAGCAGCTTGAAGCCCACAGCCAGGTGGTGATTCTCGAGCACCGACTCATCGTTGTACATGAGCGCCAGTTCTGAATCTGCAGCCCAAGCCCAGAAGTCAGGGTAAAGCTCACGAGGCTAGCCCCGCCCCAGTCCAAGCTCCGCCCCCAACGGGGCAAGCCCCGCCCCAGCGTGGCCAGTCCCACCTCCAATGGAACCAGCTACCCCTAAGTCAGGTCAGCCCC